TACCTATGCTATGAAAATTCTGGGAATGTACGAATTTTATGTATATTTCTTGTGGAAAATAGGAATTCATAGGATCAAGAATTAGGTCAATTGTCTTAGTATAACTCTGAGTTCTTGATTTTTAAAGTTAAACATGCAGGATGAACTTTACATGCGCGAATTTCAGTTGCGACTTCAAACGCGTAGAACTCGAGTTATACTCAGGATAAAATTATGAAATTTTATGGACATGTTTATATATGAGTTGAGAGCCTCCATACCAAGTTTCATGATTTTATCATAAGAAATGAAGGAGTTATAATTTTTAGATCACATGCGTGTCGAACTAATTGTATGTGCGAGAGTACTCTGTCCACATGCAAGCTATGAATGAAAAACTTTTATTAAAAATCTTCTTATGAGTGGTGAACATTGTGACTGAGTTTCAGCTTAAAATGTTGATCAGGTGATTTTACAAAATTGTTGCAATATGCGCATGTATATAACTAAATTTCATGTTATGCTTAAGTCATGAGTTTAATAAGCAAATGAAGTCCTATTGACATGAAATTTGGACAGCAAGTACATGTCTATGTATATTATTTAACTGCTAAGTTTCGTAATTTTTAGAGAGATGTGTGAATTTTAAAAATTCATGAGGTTAAGAGCTCAATTATGTTCTGTGTAAATTTTAGATAAATGTAAAATCTTGATTTAATTGAGCTTCATGAGTAGACATGGCTTAGTATAAGTTAAGTGGCCAGAGAGGGTCACCTTTCCGCCCTGACCGGCAGTTCGAGTCGATTTTGATTCGTGATTTCCGGTCCGAGTCTTTTTCCGGAAATTTTAGTATTTTTCCGAGCCAGTCCAGTCCAGTATAATCGCGTAGATAAGTTCGAGCATTTTAGCATATAATTTAATATTCCGAGCATTATACTTAGCATTATTTTTCTTAAAAATTTATGTAGCCTAAGGAGAGTCGAGCCTCCGACCGCTACACCAGTCAGCACTTGCATCAGTTCAGTTATCAGGTGGGGGTCATGTACTGGATGTCACCTCATAGATTTACCATGGCAGAGGTATGTTTGAGACAGTTTAGTTCCAGGTTGGGGGCCGACCTAAGGTCTTAAATATCCCACCTGATGACCATTGGGGGGCCGAGGCCTTTATACCCCATCGGCGTGTGCACACGAGCGGCCAAGGCTGAGGGTCTTTTGACCACAGTAAAGAAAGAAAAGAAAAGTTTACAATTTCAGCTCTCATATATTTATGTGCATGACACGTTATTATACATGATGTCTTATTCAGTACTGGTCTTTGCGGAGCATAGTGGTTTGCTCACGCCCCCATTGTGTTTTTTAGGAGACGGAGTCGAGCGTGCCGGGTGAGCTATGCGTGGTGAAGCGTGGTCATGACAGCGAGGACATTTTATGCACATTTTATGTTCTTATTTTTATGATCATGTATTCATTCAGATATGTATGCATGTACTCTATGTATTTCTATATTTCGGATGCTTCCGCTAGCAAACTTTAGACTGTGCGAGACAGTTCAGACATGGCATGTATGATTCCATATCCGTAGCGGATAGTTTGGTTTCATGTTTTATATGTCTGTGAGCCAGTTCAGTTGAGTTTTTATCTGTGACATCCCGCAACAAGCCAGTATTTTCGAAAACCAAGCTCGCACCACCTTTCGAAAACAAAAGCGAAAATTTTACTCTGATTTTTCAAAGCTAGTAAGGCGGGGTGCCACACTAATACCACTCTAATCATTATCATTATGTCAGAACATAAACCCCCTGCAGGGTTTAATATAATAATACTTCATTACCTCACTACGAGGATATCATCAACCTAACTCACATGGTGACTGCAAATATTCAAACATAACACCATACACGCAACATTACTACCCAAACTACGAAGACTATTGACCCAGCAGAATGGATCTCGCTTTTGGTGAATCAAAGTAGTAGCTACTGCGTGCACATGCTGTTTATATCTTACGGTTTAAGAGAATCAGTAATTAATTGAGGCTTTGTTCATTTACGATGATCACTATAAAACGAAATACTCCTCTTTGTGATCTGTTCAATACATAAAATGTACTAGTGCAACTACTATACGGTTGAAACTACAATCGTTATGATGGTTTATTCATTTCCATCTTGCTTGTGAATTAATCATTTTTGTTTTGCAAGTGATTGATAAAATGATCTTCTGTCCGTCCATGATGAACCATTTTATCTAAGTGCAAAACAACAGAACATAGAGTTTGTTTAATCAAATACAATTCTCATTCAACATAAATGGTGTAAATAACATCCAAAGTCAAGCTTTCATTATATACACTAACGGTAATAAGATTGAGTGGTACTAGTTCATAATCAAGATGTTAACTAATTATAGTTTTAGTAATTAAATTACTTAACGGAACTCGAATATCTTAAATATGTGTAAAGAAATTGAGTAGATAAACTATAGTCGAACATAATTTAGGGTTAGTTCAATAATAATTTTTTAGTAGACTGAACTGCTCTCAGTGAGCTAATGTGTAGGGTCACCCAAAACCCACTACACGTAATTTTATTAAAAGGCCTACTCTAACACCTCTTTAAGGTTCTTTTTGTAGCCTATAAATGCATCACCTTAGCTCTTGAAAAGCCACCACTTCTCTTGCTAGAAAACACACATTTATGTGAGATTTCAAAGAGGGAAAAACCTGAAAAATATAGGGAGAGAGAGAAAAAAAAATATGTTTTCTAGTTCCACAAGGAATGGAACATGGTTGATCTCTCTCCTTCTCTTGAATTATAGAGTGCGCGAGTTTTGAGAGGAAGAAGATTCGATAGCTCATCGCCCACCTGGCGTCCGGATCTGGTGAAGGGATTACAACAAAAGACATTAGGGTCATGTGGCTTGATCTTCAACCTGTTGACTGAAGAATTCTTCTTTGAGTTTAGGAATAAATTTTTAACGGTACAACAATTTTTATTTTTAATTTTTTTTTTTTTTTTTTTGCAAAACGGTACAACATGTTAATATGTATACTGAAAACTTGGCTACAGATGAGATTCACACTATTTATGTTGAATGAGAATTCATGTTTGATTAAATGAAGTTCTACTTTCTATGGTTTTTCATTTAGATAATGGTTCATCACGGATGGACAAAAGAACATTTAGCGATTACTTGCGAAACATATTCACAGCCTAGATGGAATTGAAAAATCCATTGGAATGGTTGTAGTGTGAGCGGTACAGTTGATCTTGACAGATTAGCCACACTTGTACACATTGGTGTATTGAACGGATCCCAGAGAAGAGCAATTCATTTTATACTGATTGGTGTAAATTAACTAGGCCTCGGCTAATTACTGCGTTATCTTAACCCGTAAGATATAAACAAACACATGAATGTAGTAATTACTGCTTTGATTCAGCAAGTTGAGGTTTATTGATATAGACCAATACCTATCTGAGTTGGATAGTGATTCCTACATGACATGGTTTTCTGTTATAATATTTACGGCTATCATGTACTTCACAATGTTAAGGTTTGATGATGTCCCCGAAGTGAGTTCAGAAATATTATTATGTTAAACCGTGCAGGTATAAAAAATTTTGACATAATAATAATGATTGAACGGTGCGAGCTTCGGTTATAGAAGTTGATTAATGTAATTATCAGTAATTAAATAAATTGACAGAGATGATATCTTAGACAAGGAGAGGAACCGAGCACATTAGAAAATGGAGCTCAAATTGTAATTTGTGAATTAGATTAGGAGTATTTTAATAATACTATTTTAGTGGAATGACTGTATTATTCGTATTAAACTTCGTAGGTTAGTCCCATAGTCTAGTCCTAATAGGAGAAACCCGTCTCATTAGAGTGGCTATTGGAGCCTATAAATACATCTCTTCTCTAGTCTTGCAAGGCATAGCATACATAGAGATATCTAGGTTCTTCTTCCCACCAAGGGAGTTATAGAGGTGTTGTGTAATCAAGTAGAAGATCCAAGGTAGTCGAGCACTTGATCACCGCCCGAATGCCGTGCACCACCGCGAGCCCCGGCTACACGCAACGTCCCGATGCCCTCGGCAACCTGCTGCGACCCTCGACGTTCCAACTCCCTGGAGATGACCTGCTGCTGCTCTCTGCGACCCGTGCACCCGCGACATCCTCGCGCCCAGAGACACAGGCATGTAGTGACCCGACGTTGTGCACACATGACTTCTCTGCGGCCAGTTCGACGTCAGTGACCAAGGCCAGCCCTACCAGCTTCCAGGTGCCCCGATCGCGATCTCGTCAGTACACGCACGTGTCCCGCGACAACCGAGAAGGCCCGTCCGACTGCCCAATGGACTTTGTGATCTGCTGATCTCCTCCAAAGGAAATCTACAACGTCTCAGAGTCGGCAAAAATAATAAAACCGTGTGTCTTCTACTTTTACCTATAGATCCACTGCGCATAGGTAATTTTGTAGTTAAATTTGTAACTTGCACATTAGCGACAATCCTTATAGATCCCAACACAACATGCATTCTATAATCTGGTTTCCGTGCGCATAGATTTATAGTCGTAGATTTCGAATGAGTATTAAGATTTCGACGTTATTCAACCTAATATTAACAATTTTAGCAAAGAGAAAGAGAAAAACTCCCTCCCATGGAAGAAAATTCTTCCACGGCGCCTTGCCACTGTTGAGCTCATTATCCCTTGATTCCGTGCATTTCGTTTCAATTTAGTTATTTTTGAAGTTGCTTACACTACCTTGTGCCAGATTTGAGTTGAATTTCACATATTTGAGTGAGATTTTAAGGGCTCGCGACCAGATTTATGGTGCAGCGAATTCACGGATCTCACCAGGTTTTATGCGTTCTTATGCCGAATTAGTGCGACCTGCTGCTATGTCTTATTCTCCGAATGGATTCTCATATGATTCTCCAGCTATTAGGCGTGATTCCAACCGTATTTTTCATCAAAATTCGCACACTACAGTAAAACCTGCTCTTGCTACAGGTTCGAAGCTACAGTTAATTCTAGCTGCTCATCTCCAGCAATATGCCTAGGTCCAAGAAGAAGAAAGTCATCTTTAGGAAGCTGAACGTTGATGAATTCTCAAGCCACGTACAGGATGGTGCTGAGGACGCACGACAGGAGGCCGTGAATGAGCAGCTCGAAACTCAAACCGAATAGGAAGCTTCATCCTCTATAGGTAAAAGGCTTGACATGGAAGATTCCGAAGATGACTTGCAGATGACCATCGCCAAACTGGTAGCTCCTCCAAAAGGCAAGGACCTTGTCGCAACTAAAATCCACTCTAAAGAGGATGCTTCAAAGCAACCCTGCTACTGTCAAGCGTCCATTCAAAGAGCTATTTGCAAATAATCGACTCCTTCCAATGGTCTCAAGCTCACCTTCACCAAACCATCGGAGGGCAAAGTTAGGTGGGAAAAAGAGGACATTAATGACGTCCAAAAGACTTGGGAATATTGTCTCGTGGGCTACTTTACTCATAAACACCCCGGGAAGAAGGAGCTATTGAAAATTTGCAACTCTTCAAACGTCAATTACGAATACATCCCTGACGTCAATGGGTGGATAATGTTCAAATTCTTGACGAAGGAGGATCGGGATAGAGTGCTAGAAGGGGGCCCGTATACTATTTACGGGAGAAGTCTCATGTTAAAGCCCCTCCCTAAATGGTTTCGGTTTGGGGATGACGATGCCAAAATCATGCCCGTTTGGGTCAAGCTACCTCTCTTGCCCCTCGAATGTTGGAATGCAAATGCCATCGGGAAAATCGCTTCCAATTTGGGAAAGCCCATCACAACCGACAAACTCACCGAGTCCAAGGATCGGCGTAGCTTCGCACGGGTCCTTGTGGAGATTGATGTTTCCGAGGAGCTAAAACATGATATTGAGGTGGAGACTCATGACGGGGAGTGTTTCTCACAAGAGGTGGTATACGAGTTTGTACCGCACTTTTGCCATAGTTGCAAAGAAATCGGACACAACTCGAGAAAATGTCATATTCTTCCGGAAGAGCCCAAGGAGAAAAAGACCAATACCCAAGACGAGAAGACCAAGCCATCTCGGGACAAGGACACCACAAAAGCACCTATGGAGACAAAGCAACCCGCTACCAAGGTGACCGATATTGCACCGGAAATCTCCACCAATGGCCAACATACCTCAAAGAAGAACAAGGAAGTGATGGAGGAAAATGCCCTTGAAGTGGCTTCAAATCGGAAGAGTCTGCACCAAGAAAAAGCGGAAGGGAAAAAGCCCTTATGCGTGAGTGATAGTGATAATGATGAGGTTATGGAGCTCGAACACCCCGCTCAACCGAATGTGGAGGAGCAACCCTTACAATTGGCGACTAAGAAAAAAAAAACCTCGAAGCATGGTGGAGGCTCAACCTAACCAGGGCCGAAGCCATTCTTGAAGATGAAAGATACCATTTTTATGAGAAGAGATCCGACAAAAACTAGCACATTGAAGAAGGGGGCTCCACCCCCCTCCTCCAAACAATGATAATCGCCACTTGGAACATTAGGGAATTCAATGCGCCCCTAAAGCAAGATGAGGTGGTTAGCCTCATCCGGAAATAAAATTGATGTTTTGGGACTTATCGAGATGAAAACGGATCATCGTCGTCTCTTTCGTTTTGTGCACAACTGGTTACGGGGTTGGTTGTTTTGTGAAAATTTTGGAGTTATTAGCCATGGACGCATAGCTATCCTATGGAACTCGGACAAAGTGGATCTATTGATGGAAGACACCCTCCCATAATCCATCTCGGTCATGCTCACTAACAAGGTTAACAATTATAAATTTTTTGTTAGCTTTGTTTATGGTCTTCATAGTAGAGGAGATCGAAAGCAACTTTGGCGGGATCTTGGAAACTCTAAGACGAACGTTACCTTGCCTTGGTTTCTCATGGGGGATTTCAACACGGTTCTCCGACCGGGGGAAAGAATTAACAGGGTGCCCGTCTCAAATCGGGATATCATGGACTTGGCTGCTTTTTGTGATACTTTCAATATTGTGGATACCCCTTCTACCGGTTTATTTCACACTTGGACAAATAATACTATTTGGTCTAAGCTTGATCATGCTATGGTGGACAACCGTTGGCTACACGAGGACTTTCTCTGCCAAGCTACCTTCCTTGCCCCGGGCATATCCCGACCACTCTCCGTGTGTCGTCTTTTTATTTGAGCACAGTAGAGGGAAGAGATCGCCTTGGCGTTTCTTCAATATGTGGACCGAACATGAAAATTACAAACCGAGGGTCTGATAAGCTTGGAACCAAAGGATTCGAGGAATGGAACAATTCAAGCTTTCCGGCTGGCTAAAGTCTTTGAAAACCAAGCTATCCGAGCTTAATGCCGAGCACTTCTCTCAAATCTCTGTTCGAGCCAACAATGCAAAGCTCGCACTCAAGTTAGCCCAAGAACAACTTCATGACAACCCCGACGACTTAGAGGTAAAGGCTTCGCTTTCTTCTCTACGGCTTAAAATTATAAATCTTGCCATGGCGGAGAAGCACTTTTTCCAACAAAAACCGAAGTGTCAATTCCAAATCAAGGGTGACAAATGCACTGGATTCTATCATGCCCTTGTCAAACGAAATTCCAAGAAAAATTTTATAGCCTCCATAATGAGTGAAGATGGGAGTATGACTACATCGCATGACGAGGTGTCTAAGGAGTTTGTTAACCACTTTGAAAAGCTCCTTGGAACTGAGACTCCGACCGTGGACATTGATCCCGAAATCGTCCGAGATGGCCCATTGTATCCTAAGAGTACCATCATGCTCTCCTTGCCCTGATCTCAGAATCTGAAATCAAAGATGCTCTCGACGACATTGAGAGTAGCAAGGCTCCCAGCCCGGACGGGTACACCTCAATGTTCTTTCGAAAAAGTTGGGACATCGTTGGAAAGGACCTTACCTCGGCCGTGCAAGAATTTTTTAGGAATGGGCGCCTCCTCAAACAATGGAACCACACCACACTAATATTGGTTCCCAAAGCTCCCCATGGACCCAAGTCTTGGATTCTGACCGATAGCTTGTTGCTATACCACTTACAAAATTTGCTCGAAAATCATTGCCCAACGATTGAGCCCCGTCCTCGGCACAATCATTGATGGAGCCCAAGCCGCCTTTGTGAGTGGTAGGAACATGTCGGACAACATTCACCTCATGCAACAATTACTCCGGCAATATATGCGTAAGTGGATCTCCCCGAGCTGCACAATCAAGATTGACCTTCGCAAGGCCTTCGACTCTATCTCTTGGACCTTCTTGAGGCAAGTTCTTCATGGAATTGATTTTTTGGAAACTCTTATCGGTTGGATCATGGAGTGCGTCACCATGACTTCATACTCCATCTCAATCAACGACTCGCTTTGTGGTCATTTCAAAGGAGCTAAAGGGTTGAGGGAAGGTGATCCGCTCTCGCCTTATCTCTTTGCCATTTGCTTAGAGTATCTCTCGAGGCTCATAAACCGAAGCACGGCTAGCGGATCGGGATTCAACTATCACCCCAAATGTAAGTTTCTTAAAATCATCCACCTAGCCTTTGCGGATGACCTAATGCTTCTCTCTCAGGGGGACCCTCGATCTATCCAAATCCTAATGGAATGCTTGAGAGACTTTCGGGATAAATCGGGCTTGGAAATGAATGTTCAAAAGTCCAACATCTACATGGTGGGGATCGGCCACTTAGAGCATTCGGAGATCCTTCACGACACTAACCTCCGTCCAGGGTCTATGCCTTTCTGGTACCTCGGTATCCCTCTCACGGCGGAAAGAGTCACGGTTGGACAATTTGATGCGCTCATAAATCAAATTTTGGAGTATATTAATGGGTGGAACATTTCCTCTCTCTCATATGCGAGGCGTGTGGAGCTCATTAGATCGGTTCTCCAAGGGGTTGAATGCTTTTGGATGTCTATCTTTCCTCTTCCGTCGACCATCCGTACGCTCATCATCAAACGTTGCCGACATTTCCTTTGGGGCTCAAAGATAGCGCCGGTGGCTTGTCATAAAGTCACTCTTCCACGTTCGGAGGGAGGCTTAGGCCTCCGGGACCTAAAAGCCTGGAATCAAACCTTGTTGGCTCGAACACTTTGGAATATACAATCTAAGAAAGACATCTTGTGGTATCGTAGGGTTCATCATATCTATCTTTGGCAAAAGTTCATTTGGGAATGGACTATCCACAAGAGTGATTCGCCCCTTTTCAAAAACCTCTATGATATTCTGAATCTCATGGTTGAAAATTTGGGTAGTATGCAACCCGTCGAGGCCGCTCTAAGTCTTTGGCAATCCAAATCCCAATCCAAGGGGCCCTCATGCGTCTGCGAGTTCTTCCGAGCTAAAGGTACACCCGTCCCTTGGAAGGGAGTCGTTTGGGGACCCGCCAACACCCCTAAACACACCTTCATCCATTGGCTAGCAACGCTCGGGAGGCTCCGTACAAAGGATAGGCTTGACTTCCTTGAACTCGACCCTACTTGTGTTTTTTGTGGGGAAGCTTCCGAGACCATTGATCATCTTCTTTGCACTTGCCCCCTATAGGATTGAGGCGGCAACTCTCTACACTTAAGAGTGCATTGAAGTGTATAAAGAAGGATGCCCAAGGCTTCGGTTGGAGAACAAAAGCAAAGAAGGCTGGGCTCGCGTCAACGGTGTACTTTCTTTGGAATGCTCGGAATAGGAAGATATTCGAAAATGAAGTCCAATCACCGGAGCTCATCATACGGAAAATCCAAACTCATGTCTACCGGAATATCTTTGCTTTGTACCCGAATGTCCTTGCCGAAGTGGAGAGAAAAGCCCTCGAAAATAAACCTCCTTGAGGTACGTTAAATTCAATCCCGTTGTACAATATTCACGGTGCTTTCGAATGTACTTGCCGAGCTTGAGAGGATTTCGTTTTGACATATAGTCACTATTTGGTTTGAGACGAGCAACCAACATGTGGTTTGCCTCTCATTACTTTGATTAGCGAGTGAGGAACCGAGCTTGTGGTTGCTCACTTGGCTTTTTGTTTGCCGTTCGACGGTCGTTGAAACGTCATTTATGATTTATATATTTAACATTTACCGATAAAAAAAAAACAATTTAGCAAAAATGTAAGTTTACTAAATATGCTTTACTATTTTCGACAACCTACTGATTGGTATTAATATTACCAGATAGCCGATACATTTAATAGAATTCATCAACCGCGTAAAAATAATTATGAAAATCCACCAAATTTGTATAAAAGTAATAAATAGATTGCGCCAGCTGCGTACAACTAATAAAATCTTGTAACGGAAAAAAGTATTCATGTAATTTTATTTTTTGTCCATATATAATTTTGTAAATATTAATATTTTTTTGTGATTGGATAGGATTTTTATGTTTTTTTTTTAGTTATCTATAATTTATCTCATTCGAATGAAACAATTATTATTTTTTTAACCATTGTTTATATGTTCTTTATTTTAGTACAATCCCACAAATTAAATAAAAATAAATAAGAAATAGTGATTATTATATATTTTCTGAAAGAGAAAAAACAATGTTCCCCAGTTTATATATATTTTTAACTATTAATAAATACCAATGAATATAATATTATATTACTTCAGTTAGTATATTTTTATCTTGTATCCCCACATAATATAGAATCTATCTTGGTCTTTCTAAAGTTTCTTTGATTACTACAATGGATAAAAAATATTGTTTTAGCTATTTTTAGTTTTTCATCTCATTTTTAAGACGAGACAAAAAAATTTCGAAAAATGTTATATGGAATCTAAAAGTGTAATACTTTTTCGACGCTGCATAAAATCGATTGAAGATTGCTGCATTAGATGACATTGCAACCAAGCTTTATTATAAGAATCCCACATAACATAATCTTTGAAGCACATTTCCAGAAGTTTTCGGCATTTATTACAAAATCCGTTCTTCCAAAACGGCCCGCTACACTGCTTTGCTCTCAGTCTGGGCGCTGAATACGAAGATCACTATCCCAGGCGGCGGCGATCAATTCTTTGTTTGTTTGTTTTTCTTTTCAGGTAATAATAATCTATTCATCTGATTTCAAATTCAGTCGAGTTTGAATATGTCAACTGTAAGTCTTTGCTTGATTAGTTAGCCTCGTGTGGTTCGCTGCTTTGAACGCCGTTGTGTTTGATAAGTACGTGTGTGTGTTCCACCGTTTTTGAGAAGAACGCTCTTTGCGAAAATGGTCGGAGTTGAAGTTAAAGGTGTTGTTAACTGTACTGGAGTTTGTTTCCATAATGTGATTGATGCAAAATATATGGCTGCACTTGGATAGTTTCATTTTTGTTGTTAATTATGTTAAGCATATTAGTGAGGGTTCTTCTGCCAATTTATGCGC